GCACCCAGCGCGGCCGTCACCTACGAGACGTGTTGGGGCTACTACGACGTGAGCGGCCAGTACGACAAGGAGTTCGAGTGTAACAACAGCGAGAGCGGCTACCTGTACTGCTGCGGCACCTGCTACTACCGCTTCTGCTGCAAGAAGCGCCACGAGAAGCTGGACCAGCGCCAGTGCACCAACTACCAGAGCCCGGTGTGGGTGCAGACGCCCAGCACCAAGGTGGTGTCGCCGGGGCCCGAGAACAAGTACGACCCGGAGAAGGACAAGACCAACTTCACCGTCTACATCACCTGCGGGGTGATCGCCTTGGTCATCGTGGCTGGCGTCTTCGCCAAGGTGTCCTATGACAAGGCCCACCGCCCTCCACGGGAGATGAACATCCACAGGTGAGAAGGACCGCCCGGGCCAGCCCCCTGTCCCCCAGTCTCCCCGTGGTCTCGCTCCTCTGGACGAGTTTCCTTTTTCCCCCGTCACTCTTCCCAACGCCGCTTCCGGTCTGTCTTCCCAAGACAGTTTCACCTTCACTTCTTTGTACATGCGATAAATCAGGCTGCTGTACCCTCTTCTCCATGTTTTCAAAACTGGGAAAGCAGTTGTGAAAAGTTGTAAAGCAGTGGTAAGGGGATTTGCAAAGTAAGAATTGGTCGAGTCCCCAAAGTTGGATTCTAAGAATGTGACAAATTGTGTAATGATGGACGGAGGTCCAGGATTCTGTTTTCAGTGCATGTGGCCACTTTGATGTAGGGTCTTGTGGCATTTGGTTTTCTGAGTCAAACAAGAGCACCATCTTCAGTATGGGAAACTGACCTATGTTGGAACCTTACTGGAGAGAGTACTGAATGATTTCGTGAAGCACGGGCGGTTTGTGAGTGTGCTAGGGGTGGGGGTGATGTAGAAAGGATGCTTCTGGAGGAAGAAGGAATGAATAAAGGTTTCTCCATTCCGTGGTGACCAAGCGCAGATGGCGTCTCTTCCTTGTACCCTGCCAAGTGAGATGCTTATCTTTCCTGCTGAGACCAGAAGACTTGTTCTTTTAAACCCTGTAGGCAGAGCTGAGCTAACACTTCTTGCCACAGTTAAACCTGGTGGGACATCTTTCACTGCTTACATTGGGGAGGGTGTGGGGGCGGCCCCCTCACTGGCAGCGTGTGCCAGCAGCTCAAATGTGGTTGTCTATAGTCCACCTTCACCTGCCTCCCAGCCTCCCAGCAAGCCCTTTGAGAAGTGACAGTGAGAGGACCTCAGAAACCCGAGTTGTCTGCTTACAACTCCAGGAAGGACACACGCAAGGAATGGAAACTAGTGTTGCCCCCAGCTCCCTCTTGACGGATGGCTAGACATGGTTTAGTGGAGTCCTTTCAGGGAACACATCCTGCCCCAAGAGATGGCTCTGTTTCTGGCACATCGTGTGGTCACTGGCCTAGTCACCATGACCACGCCCCAGGCAGGTGGTGCATCTGCGTTTGCCCAGCAGGCCCCCACCCTAAGCCACATACCCTTAGCTCATCTTAGCACCCTGTGTGCTATCCTTTTGTCCTGAAAACCTCCTTCTCTTGCTTTTGTGGATATTAATCACCTGCACTTTGGTGAAGGGAGAGAAAGGCATATAGAAATTTCTGGACACCCTGAAAGAACTGATTAATTTTTTTCCCTTGATAACGTGGGTGGTGAGAAAAGATGATACTCCCTGGCGAGTTTTCTTGAGTCAAATCCACCGAGTGTGGGTACTCCAGTACTGACAAACTCGGGTATTAGATTTGGGCTGCTTCCAAAAGGAGGTTCTTTTATTGCCCCCAGTCATCACCCTGAGGTGCCACCCCATCTCTCTCTCAGGTGCTAAAGTTTTACTCAGCATCTCTTCTGCCCCTGGGCTGGCCTTGGGCACTGACAGGAATTGTGAGAACTGTGGTCAGTTGAGGCTCCCAAATGCAGAGGGCAGGTAGGAAGGTGAGGTGTGTGAAGGTGAGTTTTATATGATGAACATCTCTTTCTCTCTCTCTCTGCTCCCTGGAAAGCAGAGAAGGAACTGTGTGAGGGGAAGCTCCCTCCTGAAGCAGACATTCTAATCCTTATTTTCTGCTCCACCTTTGCCTCAAGTCTTGGTCTTCTTCCTCCTCCTGTAGTCCTGGCATCTCCTCAAGCCTCCGGCTGGTTGATTCCCTCATATCTTTCTTTGGGTTTCTGTCTTCCCTGAGTCAGAGTTCTGTGCACTTTGAGAAAGCTGTGCCTTGCCCTGACCGTGCCACCTCATACTGAGTTTGTTCATGTTCCCCTGGGATGATACTGAGCTCAGTGTCCTCAGATGCTGGGAGCAAGATATTTGGATTCTGGCTTTGGTATGAGTTATATGGGCTGTAACCCTGGTGATGTCACTGACCCCCTAGGTGTTTTCTCCCCTCCTCACCACGCTAACCACCCCCCTCTTCAACTGGGGTGATTATGGTGATGCCTTAGGGCAGTTTCTCTCTCCACTTGGGGGAGAGGGATGACTGGGAAGGGAGATGGATTCCAGCCCTCAGACCATTATGTAAATATGGGATGTTTCTCAAGTTCACCTCCTAATTTTATTCAGTTCACAGCACCTCTTCCAGCAGCTGCAGTCTCGTCTGCTCAGTATTTCGGAAACCGTCTTATTGGTGCCTGTTAGGTAGGGGACGATGCCCGTCCCTGTGTGTGGGGGAGAGGAGGGAGCCAGAGACGAGAGTGCCACCTCAGGCCCTCCATGAGTGACCTTGGACAGGTTAGGGAAACTTACTTTTCACTTCTGGGTGACTTGAGCTCAGCAGCATCCCGCTGTGACCTCTTCCTTCAGGGGCATGTTGGGTGAGTGAGCACACTGTGGTGAGTCTCTGTGGACTTGTGGGTGTGAGATACCACACTCTTCTCCCTGTGCTCGGACCTGGGGGTCGCCTCCTGCCATTCCAGGGAAATATTTTTGTTTGTTTGTATAAAAACTTTATTGAGATCTAATTTACATACCATTCAGTGTACCCATGTAAAGTGTACAGTTTAATGGTTTTTGGTATATTCAAAGGGTTGTGCAAGCATTACCATAATGAATTTTATAATATTTTCATCTCTCCACAAAGAAACCCCATACCCATTAGCAGTCATACCCCATTTCCCCCCATTCCCACCCTCAGCCCTAGGAAACTGCCCATCTGTTCCAAAGAGGTTTTTGCACCCACTGTCTTGTTGGGGAGTGGGGGTCAGGAAACGAGGCAGCACCGGGAGAAAGACAAATGTTCACACTGTGGTGAGTTTCCCCAGGGAAAGTGGGGGAGAAGAAAGAACGTGCAGTCTTCCCAGGTCAGGGAAGGAAGTTACATATTCCTTGAAACAGTTCAGCAAAGACATTTACTTTTCGAAAAGGGAAGATGAGCTTATTGCAGTGTGCAGTACGCCCATTAGATGGGAGTTGGGCACAGGGGCCGAGTCTGAGGAAAGAGAACCAGAAGAGGGAGTTCGTGGGAGTGTTAGAAGGGTGTAGGCAGGATGCCCACCCAGAGCAGCCATCCACCTCGCCTCGTTCCCGGCTGGGCAGCCTTTGCGGCCCGGGCACACACAGTCCTTAGGGCAGGACTTCCTTCCACCTCTCTGTCCTGCAGGGAAGAACAGATTAGGTCTTTTCTAGAAGTGATTAGACCTTGCCATCATATTTCTGCAGAAGAAACGTGTGTCTGGAGGGGCAGCTCTCAGCTCTCTGGTAGTTCTAACAGATGAGCGCGAAGTCATAGTCTGTGAGCTAGCCTCGGGGTGAAGGGGACAGGCACAGGGACAGACCTGCACCCTGGATCCAGGAGGCACTGGGCAATGTGTGTCCACCTTTCCCAGCCAGACCCCATTTCCCCCCCAGTATCTCTAACCAGCTTTCCTTCCTCTGCTCCCCAGGCTCAGGCTCAAGCTGACTGACCTCGGCATCCACCGATTTTAATGTTTCATGAGTGGCTCCTGCAGTGCTTCCCTGAGGCTGTTTGTTCAGTGAGGGGCTGATGTCCTCCAAAGGCCTGGGCTCTGCCTAGGAAAAGGGCTAAGAGGCTGGCTCCCTTTGGCGTGATATTCTGTGCTCAATGTCTCACATCCAAACCTGTTCCTCCCTCCTCACCCTGTGTTGATTCATTAGTGTCTTGGAGATGAGAATCATTCTGAGGGAGGAACTGTGTGGCTTTTTTTAAATGGCTAATTAACAGATGGGTCAGGCAGCCATTAGGATGCTGGGGATGCAGTTGGTGAAGTCAAAGCTGACCTGGGTTCTCCTGCTGGCTGCACAGGAGTGGAGGGCTGGCGGAGGGGGTGGGCAGTGGGGGACTCAGCTGTGGGAAGGAAAGCCTGAGAAGACATCATTCGATGTCAGGAGAAAACAGAAGTG